AAAATTCCCCCCTACCCCCCCCCCCGTCCCTCCCCGGCCCACGCCCCCCAGCGTGGACCCATCAGGAAGAGGTGAAGTGATACCATGGGAACAGTCCAGCAGCACCAGAGGTGTTTGGTCCAGTTTCTAAGGCAGGTCCAGCATGTGGTTCTCCTCCAGGGCCTTTTGAGTCCTGTCATAAACCTCCTCGATGGCCCGGACCACCCGGGTCAGAACCGCGCTCAGTTCCTCCTGGTCCTGGACACACACCAGTTTGAAGAAGAACCCTCGCTCTGGCATGGCGATGAAGGCCAGCTCCGCAGCCCTGCGGACGAACCAGGAGTGGTAGTTGGCCAGGGTGTTCTTGTAGGCCTCGCGACACAGCTCTGAGGGGCTCCTCAGACGCCCCCCCGCCACCGCGTTCTCCGCCAGCTTCTCCAGGAAGAGCTTCAGCCACAGTAAGGCACGATGCAGACGAAGGAGAGTCCGGCATCCAGACTCCGTCTGACGGTGGAAGTCCACCGTACCCCTGTCCAGTTCCACCCAGATCATGGACCGCACCGAGCGGTAGGCTTCTCTGTGCGCCGGGGACTCCGACCCCGACCCGCTCTTTGGTCCCGCCTCAGTGCCCACTGGGTTTACAGAGTGTGAACCTGGGCCCAGTTCTGCCTCAGGGTCCTCCTCCTCGGTCGCGGCGGCCAGCTGACGGATTATGGAGGTCTTACTGACGATCTCTTTAGATATCAGTCCAACCATGGGGCCCAGAGCGTCCATGAACCTGGAGACGGAGCAGAACAAGAATCAAGATGGCGTCACTCCTCCTCCTCCTCCTCTTCATCCTCATCTGAACATCTTACTTGACTAGCTCGTCCCAGCTGGACAGATACGGCTGCAGCAGCACGTCAGAGTCGTAGGCCGGGGCGTCCAACAGGTGGGACAGCAGTAAGGACGCCTGGAAGGTCTGACCGGGACACCCCTCCAGGACCGGGGGTCCCTCCGACCCGTTGGCCTCACTGCTGTTGAACAGATGGTGGAGCTGCGGCGGGGGACGAGGGTGGGGGGAATTAGAGGGACAAAGGAGGCAAAGAGGCAGAAAACTAACGTCGTCCAATCAGATCTGTGATTGGACGAGGACGCTGCTGCTGCAGGTGAGTGAGCGGCTGAAGACGTTCTTACCTTGTTGTTCTGATTGGATCCTTTCAGACAGGAGTCCCAGTGGTAATCCAGACCTCCCTCTGCACACGGACAGGACGGAGACACAAAGACCACGCGGTTAGACGGCTGTACATGTAACACGGTTTGTAACGATCTTTAGGCTAACCTCAAGCTAACTTCTAGCTATCTTCTCCACTAGCACTTCTCTTTTTCATTTTAAACTATTTAGTCCAAGTCATTTTTATACTTTTTAAACGTAGCCATCTTTTTGCCTTAGCAGTTAGCAGTTTTAGCATCTTTAAAAGCTTTTTTTTGTACATAGAACCTTCTGTGTTGATTCTGGGTTCTACTCCATAAGTTTAGCATTTTTTTTGTACATAGAATCTTCTGTGTTGATTCTGGATTCTACTCCATAAGTTTAGCAAAAAGTTTTAAATGATCACAATGAAGTATTTGAAGTATTTGTTCGTGTGTAAATACCCTGGTTGACATTACTGGTTAAACTCCTTTGTTCTCTGAGGTCATGTGAAAGTAATGTTAACATGCTAACATTGCACGCTAATCCCGACCCCTGACCCCTGGACTCATACATTTTCAATTAATTCCACATCGTTAAACAGGCTGTTAGCATGATGCTACGTTCAATCAACCTCTGCTTTTTACAAACTACAAACAAATCATTTTTTTAAACTAAATTTATGAAGATAAATGGTCTTAAAACTTTCCGACTAAAGAACGACCGACTGTAGATTCTACCAGAGGTGAATTCCAGTGGACCAGGTGTGAATTTGAGTTCCAGGTTCTGTGACCAGAACATGTCTGTGGGCTGTGGTCATCTGACCCAAATCTGCCACTTTAATCCCAGCAGGTCACATGTTCCAGCTCCAACAGTTGAACCTGGATCACGACGCTAATATTTAAATGTTGAGTTGGTCATGTGGCCCACACTGTGAGGATCCACACTCTGGGACACACTCTGGGCCACACTGAGGATCCACCCTCGGGCCCACACTCGGGGCCACACTGAGGATCCACCCTCGGGCCCACACTCGGGGCCACACTGAGGATCCACACTCTGGGGCACACTGAGGATCCACACTCTGGGACACACTCTGGGCCACACTGAGGATCCACCCTCGGGCCCACACTCGGGGCCACACTGAGGATCCACCCTCGGGCCCACACTCGGGGCCACACTGAGGATCCACCCTCGGGCCCACACTCGGGGCCACACTGAGGATCCACACTCTGGGGCACACTGAGGATCCACACTATGGGCCACACTCTGGGCCACATTACAGTCAAACTACAAACAGACAAATATGTTTGTTAAATTATTAAAAGTTAAATCAGAGAAAATCACCTTTGAGTTTATTATTATTATTATTATTTAGATTTTTATTATTATGTATTTATATTACGGTTTCATCCACAGGGAACGATAAACTCTGTCCGTGTTTGTGAAGTTACTGGAGGCTGAAGCACGTGAACGCAGCGTGGAGCAGCAGCAGCCGTCGGACCATGTGACCGTCCTGATACAGAGTCCATCCAGGGGAGGATCGTATGGATTCAAACGACATGGAAATCACCACCACTCGGTAAACAGAGAGTGTGTGTGTGTGTGTGTGTGTGTGTGTCCACTCACGCAGCCACAGTGATCCCAGGAACAGCAGCAGGACCAGGACTGCAGCAGCAGCTTTCCTCTTCACACCCATGCTGAAGATCACTCTCCTCCTCCTCCTCTTCTCTCCTTTCCTTTTTCCTTCTTTCCTTTTTCCTTCTCTTCTTTCCTCTCTGTTTCTGTTTCTTTCTCTGTTTTTTTTTTTTTTTTTTTATCTTTTAATTCCTTCTGTCTCACATGAGTCCACGGCGCTGCCTGNNAAAGTCCAGCATTTAGAGCCAGGGTCCAGAAAAGAAGCAGAAATCCAGAAATCCAGGCTCCTGTCAGTGAGTGACCCGCCGTCCACGCCGTCCACGCCGTCCTGACGTCGCCGCTCTGATTCGCCAGGGCTTCCTCCCCACACGCCGCCTTTGTTTCTGACTGATCTGAGAGCTGCCTGCCGGCTGGTGTGTTGCTCAACATGAAGGTCCAGAGATCAGGCCGGTGCAGCCCCCGCCTGGTCTGTTGTCCGTCAGTGACCCCCTCTCTCCCTCCAGATTCCCTCGGCTGAAATGAGCCGTGTTCCTGCTCGGCTTGAATAAACACTCGCTCTCCCTCCTGTCCTCCCACCGCCACATGTTCCTCCTCCCCCCTCTCTGTTTTCCCCTCCCTCTCACACACACACACACTCCCTCCTTCATTCACACACACATCATTGAGAGCACGAGCTCCGTGCTGCTGACGCACGTTCCAGGAAACATGGTGCTAGAAATGAGGCCAAAACCAAAACCACAAACCTGTCACTGTCTCTCACTTTGTCTCTGAACAAGAACCTGAACATCTACACTGATTCATCTGTGGACCCCCCCCCTCACCCCCCCACCCCCAAATGTGGCAGAAGAGATAATGTTGATGTTTCAGCTCCAGGTCAACGTCCAAGGATCGGTCAGACTGACCGACGTGTCTCCTGTGGTCAGCACCTCTGTTCATGATAATCATTGACCAACACTGTTGCTGCTGCTGCTGCTGCTGCTGCTGCTGCTGCTGCTGCTGCGGCCGCTGCTGG